ATTTTTTTTTTTTTTAATAAAGCTGTAGCTTATCCGTATGTCTCACATCCATCTGCAATCTCTACAACTATAGCACCATGCTGCTCTTGTTCTAATTGGATTACATCTCTTTGAACCCCTAACATAGTGTGTCATATGTTAGAAAAGGGCAAAAACACATTCCTGAATTTATCAGGAAGTCTGCTGATGTGCATATAAGGGAAAACTATCTTTTGTTGCCCCCTAGTGGTTAAACAGAGACTGTAACTAAAGGCAGGATGAACTTTGCAGTGCGAATGTGCGAGCTACGTTCAAACTCCATATATGTGACTTCTGTATGGATTCAGTCTAATAGCACTCTATTTCAGCGTTACGCTTTTGATCCATTTTTAATAAGTCCCTCCCCCCATTCCTCCTCGACCAATTCAACTACTGCAAGGAATTTCCAAGATCTGTAGGCTGCGCGTTAGCTGGATCTCATTCGTTGAATGCGTACATGCATGAAGAACATATTTTCTGTCAGAGTGCAATATACTACAGTTTTTATTAGAAAGGATAGAAAATTGGAATTTCTGTGGATGTAACTTCCCTCCAGTGGAAACCAAAATGAAGGAGTTAACTTTTTAGGTCTGTAATTTCCTGGAAGAATTCTCTTTTAAAGCTCACTTGTCTCTCTTACCCCACATTGAGAAATCTGTAGGACTCTCTCTCCCAGCAATTCCTCTCAATTTCAACCTCCCGTTTGGCGTTTCTGAGACAATGAGCCTCTACGTCCCAACACCAGACAGGTTTCTTTGTCTCTTTACGTCAGAGTCCGCAATAAATCTGCTGTTTGTTTGTTAAGGGGTTTTTTTCCAATCGCTTTTCCAGCACTGTTTATACAGCTGCCCTGCTCTAACCGGGGCTTTGACGCAGACGATAAGCTCTCAGGTCCGTCTACAAGTTAACGTGTGACTGTGTTTTTCAGGGATGACGTCGCATCCAGCTCCACCTTCACCCTGGAGGACAGTGCCATCTGCCTTACGTCGGAGCAGAGCACCATGGACGTGGACATGGATCGAGATGACGGATCGGTTCTTGACGTCTACCTGGTGGGTTCATTTATTTTAGGTTATTCTTGTTTAAATATTGACTAGGCTTTAGCTGGATATACTGACTTATTCTCTTTGTTTCACAGTGAAAGGAGCAGCTTTCCAAACATTCATTTTCTCCTGCCAAGCATAAGACAATCGCCACACCCCCATTGGACAGGCCATGCTGGCGTTTGACTCACTTTCAGTGCTGCTAGATCCATGTTGCCACTTGTCTTTGCCAACACATCAAAAATGTACTGAGATTCCCACTGGTTGTTGGACTAAAAGTCAAAGTGAAGGAGATCTGCGAGGAACCATGCAACATACCGTGTCACGTGCTGTACATCAGACTGAGCTTTCAGAACATGCGTCAACTCCGCGGCACCATTAGGTTTTATATGTGTGTACTGTTTTCAAGGCCTACAAAACAACTTCAGCATATTTGAGGAGACGGTAGATGCAAACCATTCATGTGTTTAGATGTTTTGTTTGGGTTTTTTTCTTTCCCTGCTGTTCAGAAAGACATGAAGGACACTTTTACGATTCGCGACTGCTTTAGTTGCTGTTAAAATGAGAAATGTTTACACTGAATTTATGGTGGCATCTTTGTCCCCAATGAGGAGGGACGCCGCGTTGTCACACGAAGGACACAAGTTGGTTTTGTAGCCGCATCCAACACCTACCAGGAAAGACTCCTGTGAACAGACTCGATACTGAAGCTGCCGAGGCCAAACCCGGGGTGCGATCCTGGTTTAAGCGGCCTGGATTTTTTCCTAACTGTGCCGCCCGGAGAGGAGCGTGAAGCGAGCAAAGACTGCGGCCAGGCCTCGGCTGAAGCACGGAGCAGGAGGCACTTTTGACATGTTATGATTTCTGTAAGACAGATTTCTCCAAGGACACTGCTTTAGGCGGGTGGGCTACCTGACATAAGCACAGATGTGTGAACATGCACTTTTTTTAATCTTTATTATTCAAATGCACACTTGTTTTGTCGTTGACACTACATGTACAAAGACAATGAAGCAACACTGTAGATATTTTTTTTCTGTTTGATGTGGAACTACTAGTTTCATGAGGTTTGCGTCATGACTGAAGATGCTTTTACTCAGGATATCCTTTGATACTGAATAAGTATGTCCTCTTTAAGTTCAAGTTCTGAGACACGCATTCTTACACTCGGTGGCGGTCCAGTACCGCTCCGTCAAAATCATATCCAGCTATAAGTGTTTGAACTCCACGATCACGTCAGTTGAGACCATAATTTATTATGTAAATCCCAATATTTTACCATTTGCTGAAAATATACTTTCATCGCTGAATGTATAGACAATGCGTATTTATATAAAGAAGAGACTCCTATAAATAAAAATTTAAAACTCAGTGTCTGCCTGTGAATGCTCAAAACATTTCATGTCATGCGTTTGCAGGTCATAGCTGTGGATGTTTAGGAAGTGGCGGTCTTTAGTGAGAGTATGGGCAGAAACCCTAGGCATGCAAACACGGTGGTAACACGTAAACTCCACGTAGAAACGGCCGTGACCTGATTCTGTTCCAACGCGGATTATTGCTGCTTTCCACAGAAACCAGTTTCATTGTCACGCCAGTGTGAGGAAGAGAATACGATCGGTTCTGCTGTATATTAACTTTAATTTACAGAACATTGCAAAACATTTACTGTCAAATAAAATTTCTCATATACAGTTTAAAAATATACAAACTATTTAAAATACAGACAAAACTGAAATCACTAAATGCATTCTGCTCATGTAGCTACAACACTGTGCAAAACGTCTGCAGCCACGCCTCATTTCATGACATTTGCCTCCAGATTTTCTTGTAATTTTTTTTAAGTGGTTTTCAGAAATAGTTCTCTGGGCTCTTCCAAAGATTTTCTTTAGACATTGGCTGTTTTTATAAAAAAATTAAAAAAAAATTTTTTTATTTATTTTAAACACACATTTTCAGTCCATTCCTTGTACCCAACCATTTTCAGAGGTATGTTTTTAGTTTAAGCCTTTTAACATTATCATATGAAAAAGGCACCAAACCAAAGTTAAATGCTCCTCATCGCCCAAGATATACTTCTTCTGACTGTTTCTGTCATTAAATTCAAGTGTTTAAGAGTCACAAGTGATCATTTATTTTAAATCTACAGTTTTCTCTGTACAATACACCGTGTCCACTGTGCTCTCTGAAAGCTACTTTATAACAATATTAAAGATTTCAAAGCTTTAGGCCGTCAAACTGCAAAGAGTCGTCACGAGATGGAGAGAAGAAGTGAAAGTGTTCACACCTCATCAGTGCTTTTGCTGTAGTTTGTTTAATTGATCTTTAGTGAAGCTTAGCAGTACCAAAAAAGGAGAAAAAAGCAGCTGTAATACTACTGATTAGAGCAAGTCCCCCCCCCCCAAAAAAAAAGTCAAGAAATGGATAATCAATAGAAATGCACGAAATAATTTACCCCAAAAAAATCACCTCAGGAAATTCTTGTGCTTACATACAAATCTAGCTAAGATCATAAACAACTACTTTTGTTTTAAATCTCGAGGGGCATCTGAATAATTACAGATTCTGTAGATCTTACCTCGTTCACTTCAATAAAATCAATCCAATCTCAAAAAAGAAAAGAAATCATGAACTTAGTTAAACTTAAAAGGTCAAAGATTGTATGCATGGTAATTAAATTAACCCAATAAAACAAAAATATACAAATATAATTAACTATAATTATACAAGATGTAGCTGCCAGTCAAGTTGTGCTTGGGGTCCTGGTTACCTCGTTGAATTCAGAAAAGGATGGGCTTCCCGGCGGTTTTCTCCTGGACGTAGGAGCTGAAGCGTTTGAGGAACTTGGGATATTCTCTCTTGGCCACAGGTCTGAGGATTGATGCTGGAAACCAGCCTCCGGGGTTCACTGCAGTCACACAGAGAAATGTAATCAGGAAACAGTGTGTTCCCGCTGACTTATGATAAAACTATTAATAATAAACCTGCACAGGCAGCTGTGTGGGATGCCCTCTGGCGGGACGTGGTGATTTAATATTTATGTTTTTAGATGAACTCCCTCGACCCGCTCGGCATCTCTGACAATAAACTGGCTTAAGATTCATCCTGCAGCGCTGCTTTATGTAATAACCTGCTTGTCTGCAGGGGCAGAGGCTGCAGTCTGGACTAAAATTTCAAAGTAATACCCCAGGCTGGGTCATCCTTGTGTCAAAACTACAAAATTCATTTAACAAAAACAAAAAAAACAAAGAATGGCATGTCAGTCATTCAAACGAATGAGTAACCAATTCTACTATATTTTCTTTGATGGTCTGAACAACCGCTGAATAACCCATCCAGACATTCAGACATTCAAGGTGTGCTTTTCTCATCTGTCGTCTACAAAATCTAGTGATACATGTGAGGACTGTAAGACTAAACAGAGGCTTTGTTCTGCTGTCTGCTGAGATCAAAGCCAGATGCTTTTAAGAGGCACTTACCATTGGCAACATAGCTGACCCTACACGAGATGTTGTCTCTGCTGATCTCTTTGTCGCCCTCTGGTGGACTCACCAGCGTTTGGCAGATCATTGCAACATTAAGTTTGGCACGAACACACCGGTTTGTTAGCTGAAAGTGAAAAATACACGAATAAATAAATAGGAGTAAAAACAAATTAAATCGCCCAAAACAGACACATATCTCACTGTAACTGATATGACAGACAGACTGGGGTTAACATTGTTCTCCCATTTACTCAATAAGGCCTTGTTTGACAAGATGATGTTTGATACTAACATGAACTAAATGCACTGTTACAGCACTTGGAGGTGTGAAGAGAAAAATATGCATAAGCAGTATGTTTACCCAGCTTTCTTTGTCAGGCATAATGTATTAAACCTCAAATGTAAGAGTTGTTCTTATACCAGGAGCAGTGCTCATGTCTGTTTTCAGTCATCAAGGTCATGCTACGCTTAAGCACTCGAGCTGAAGGCAACTGGACGTGTTTTTACTTTCATTAAGATTTTTCACATCTCATCTGAGAGTCTTCTTCAGTCATAAAGGCCCAAATATTTAATCTCTACTGGGATTGGCCAGAGTCGCCTCTATTTTTTGAGGCGACTGAGGTCCTTCAACATCTGCCGGACAATGCTCGGGATTTTCTACAAGTCTGTTGTGGCCAGTGCGATCCTCTATGCTGTTGCATGCTTGGGGAGTAAATTGAGGGTTGCTGATGGTAAGAGACTCAATAAACTGATCCGCAAGGCCAGTAATGTTGTGGGGATGGAGCTGGACTCTCTTGAGGTGGTGTTGGAGAGGCGAATGTTGTCCAAGATAAAGACAATGTTGGATAATTCCTCCCACCCATGTCACCCATGACATGCTGGTCAGTCACAGAAGCACGTTCACTGAGAGACTAAGATTACCAAAAAGCACCACTGAACGCCACAGGAGATCATTCCTGCCTGTGGCCATCTCCCTGTAGCAATAGCTACACCCCTTTTGCACATTCCCTTCTTTCTTATTCAGATATTTATCAATAAGTGACTTATATGCATGTATATATTGTGCTATTTCTTACTTTTTGTAATGTCTGTCTTTGTTACTGTTTGTACTGGAGCACTGTAACCAAAATAATTTCTCCTAAGGATCAATAAAGTGTTCTGATTCTGTTCTGATTGTCACCTTGGAGGTGGTCCTGAGAGCTTTTGACTCACCCTGTCATCATGTCAAAAGGAAAGATGTTTCACCTTCACAAACCTAAAAAGAAGTAAAGCTGCCTTTAACTCAAGTGCTTAGCACTAGGACTCTGCTGTAACCCAAAGTAATTGTCTTGTGTATAACTTTATGAGCCTCTCACATGATTGTGCTCGGGATAATTGCCCTGTCGCGTGACCCAAGCTTTAGCTGCCAGTGTCAGATTTGACTCTATAATACTTCATGAGTTCATGAAAGGTGCTCAGGTTCCTGTGACTCTGAAACATCATTCCTCCACCACTGTGTCTGACAGTTGGTTTGATGTGCTAATGCTGATATGCTGTATTTTTATAACTACTTCAGCCTGAAATATACATGTAAAAAACTTATGATTATTATGATTATAAGACTATTATTACTATTTTTGTTAGGCTGTGAGATGGGTTAATGATTAGCAGTACTAACGGCACTAACTTATCATTTCAGTGACAAGACACCCCTGCAGAAAACAGAAAAGAGTGTGAAATTTTCCAGCATGCTTTGAATAGCGAAAAGTAGCGCCATCTGGTGGACAAATCTAAACATTTTAAATTGAAGCGAATTTCAATAGCTT